AACTCCTAGGACTTTATAAATTGTGTCCCTTTATAAATTTATGCTCTTCTGCATCATTCATCTATATTTTTAGATCCTTGTTCTTCATTGCACACACATATATATGTATGTGGCTACAAAATCACTAGTGATGAAAACACTGATAGATATATTTGTACAGAAGTCTAGTATTACATTCATGTATTCATTCAGAAATGGATAGAATCGTGCACTTGGAACATGAGTCAGGCTTTTATCTTCAGTTTTCTCTTCAAATTTGCAGTGATGAATCTGGTTTCTGTGAAATAAGATGGTGACGCCAGTTCAGTTCCTGGTGTACAAAGTGTCAGATCACAGTTGATGGTAATTGGAACTCTGTAGGCATGGATATTTCAGTAGAAATTATTGAAAGGGTCAGGATAGTGTGTTCTCCAAAATGTTGTGTATAGGTAAAGATAAAAAAAGGTTTCATTGAACAGTCTTAGAAGATGCACCTCTTGCATTTTTACTGTATGAATAAAATGTTCCATCTCCAGAGGTTACCTGATTAGCACTTGCAATGTATATTCATGTGGGAATATGTTCATCCCCTGAAAGGAGATTTTAAAGTCTCTTTGAAATCAAGGGTATCAGGGTATAGCTTTTAAACTTAAGGGTTTTTTTGTTCTTTGGTGCACATATAACAAATTATTTTTAGTCTAAATCTGTATGGGATTTTTTATTTATTTTGCTCTGAGTTATATTCAATTCTGCTTCATTTTCTGTCTCAATAAATCATCTCAAATGTAGCTGAAGTAGAGCAGTTTTGCTGGCCTACTTGGTGATAATTGTAAAATAGCTGAAGAAAATTACCTGCTGTTGCTGACTTGCTTTAGAGTGAGGTGACTTACAGTTCTGTTACTAGTCAGTCAAAATCCATTGTTGAAGTGTTGCATCACTGTCAGTAGGCATACTAAATCATCACAGCCAAATGAATGCCTTGCAGGAGAGACACTCAACTACCTAACATTAATATTTGGTAAAAAATGTGAAGTGACAACATAAAGCAAAATTAGAATCAATCAGTAGAAGCCAAAAGCCTTTGAACTTTTTTGTGGAGAATGATGACTTGATAGGGTAAGTGGCATCAAGAGTCTTAGAATGAACCAATTCACTTTTATTCCTGAATTTCCCTCCTGCACAAAATTGCCAGTTTTAGTGGTGCTGAGACAACTCATATGAATACTTAGAGATGTGGGTTGGTGCCTACTGGGATGAACAGACAAAATATCCATTTTTCAGTGGACCGTCTTAACTAAATTCTGAAAAGACTCACCTCATTTTATCTTGCTGCAGTGCTCTCCAAAGCTGGTCAGCTACTGAAATGACCACATTCAGTGTCCACAGAGTGGTTGAACATGCTTTGTCCTAGCAGTGCAAGAACTTTTATTTCCTCTGTGAAACTAGGACCTCTTTTGATACCAGAAAGTAAAAAGGACAGTCAATGCGTGGTTTTAGCACTTTATTTATGAATTCTCAGTGATTTGTAATGAAAAGTGCAAGCCATTTTGATTTGCCTGAGTGGAAGGTAAAGTGGAAGCAAGACCAAAAGAGGGAATGGGGTCTAAGAGCAGAATGGGAGAAGGATCAGCTTATTTGCACAAAAGGGGTAGTACAGTTCTAAGTGAAAAGATACCAACCTTAAAATGTTTTTCTTTTTAATAAAAAGTGTCTACAGTATAATAACTGCATTTGTAATTATGAACATTTTGAAGTTAGAAAAGTGAGCACTTCTTTGAGGCACAAGTCTTCACTTCAACATTAGCACTTGTAATATTGCCAGTTTTGCATTTTGTCAGCCTTTAATTTCTTTTTGTATTCTTTCCTCATAAAACACATGCTTTATCAGAGGTATTCTGAACAAGAACACTGGACATCATGTCTTGCAAACACTGGAAGATGAAGACACTGAAAGCTTTCCACAATTTGCATTAATGTTCCTCTTCACTTTCTAGTCAATTAAGTGGAAACGTGCAGCCTGAGTTGCAAAAATGCTAAGTGCTCACAGCTGCAAGAGCCATCAGTGGTAACTCTCTCCTGAACACTGAATCTCCTAAACCAAAAACTTTATATTTGAACTGGCAGCCTAATTAGGGGTACTCATGGAGTTTTGACTATTACATCTCTTATGTTGTGCCCATTTAGCAGATGAGAGCTATGTTCCTGCATAGTACTGGCAATCCATGTTGCCAAGTGTACTGTAGAAACAGTTTCTTTGAAATTTATAAGCACTAAGAATCCTCTGTGATGGTATTATGGAATAGCATACTAGGGATTTAGTAAGTCTGCGTTTGGTCAGATTTTAATGTGGAACTACATGAGGAATGCTATAGAGAAATAAAAGTAGGAATAAGACACCTAAATCACTGAGGACGGAATCACAGAACATTTGAAGTTGGCAGGGGTCTCTGGTGGTCATCTGGTCCAACCTGTTGCTCAAGCAGGGCTACCCAGAGCCAGTTGTCCAGGGCCAGCTCTGGCTGGCGTCTGAGTATCTCCAAGGAAGGACACTCCAGAACCTCTCTGGGCAACCTGTGCCAATGCTCAGTCACCCTCACCATAACAATGTGTGTTTCAGTTTGTGCTCGTTGTCTCTCATCCTGTCACTGGGCACCACTGAAAAGACCCCGGATCCCCTTCTTTGCACCCTCTCTTCAGGCTTTTGTACGTATTGATAAGATCCTCTCTGAACCTTCTCTTCTCCTGGCTAAACAGTCCCAGCTCTCTCAGCTTCCCTTGATAGGAGAGATGCCCCTTGGTCTGTCATCCATGTTGAAGACGGAGGCAAAGAAAGCATTAAGCACCTCTGCCTTGTCTCTGTCCTTGTTTGTGAGGTGACCGTCCTCATCCTATAATGAGCTGATGATATTTTATTTCTTTATTGCCTATTGCCACTAATATATTTGAAAAAAAACTCTTTTTATTGTCCCTCACATTTCAACTCCAGTTGATCTTTGGCCACATGACTTTTCTTCCTGCAGAGGCAAGTGGCATCACTGAATTCTTCCCATGTCACCTAACCTTACTTTATCTGGGTATACATCTTCCTTCTTTGCCTTATTTCCAAGACAAGATCCCTGTTCAGCCAAGCCAGCTTTCTGCCTTGCCTGCTTGACTTCTGACATTTGCGAATTGCAGGCTCCTGTGCCCTTAGGAGGTGATGCTTGAAAAGTGACCAGCACTGATGGACCCCAGCACCTGCAAAAACATTTTCCCAGGGGACCTTGCTTACTAATTCCCTAAGCAGCCCAAGGTCTACTCTCCTCATGTCCAGAGTTGAGGTTTTGCTGGCACTTTTCCTACTGTCAACAGAGCTTTCGAATTCAGTCTCTTCGTGGTCACTATGGTCAAGATGGCCACCAATCTCCATTTTGCTCATGAGATCTGCTCTGTTGACAAGCAGCAGGTCAAGGAGTGCATCTCTTCTAGTCAGATCTCTTAGGACCTGTTCCATATAGTTGTCATCCAGGCTTTTTAGGAATTTTTTGTCTCAAGCTGTACTAGCTGTGTGATGCTCCCACTTAATGTCTGGCAAGTTGAAGTCCCCTATAAGGACAAAGGCACTTGACTTGAAGGTGTCTCTTAGTTCTTCAAAGAATAATTTGTCAGCATCATTGTCTGGCTAGGAGGTCTATACAGCAGTCTCCCATGATGACACCCACATTATTTATTTGTCCCTTGATTCTTACCCAGAGGCTCTCAGCTGTGCAAGTGCAAACTGTGAGCTCCATACATTCTAACCCTTCTTTTACACACAGTGCCACCCCTCTGCCTCTTCTGTCCTGCCTGTCCCTCCTGAAGAGCCTGTAACTGTCCAGTGGGGCACTCCAGTCACAGGTTTCATCCCACCAGGTTATGCCTGTGATGTCAAATCTCTGGGATTGGGCCAAAGCTTTGAGCTCCTCTTGTTTGTTCCTCATGCTGTGTGCATTGGTGTAGAAACATTTCAGGGGTGGTACGTTGTAGCCAACACCTCGTGAGGCAGATTGAGTGATCCCATGAGTATTTGTTTCCTCAAGTTTTGGCACACAATCCCATCACTCATCACTGGCGAGCCTGGCTTTGTCCCTTCCCCCTTCCAAGATACTTCAAAGCTCTGTCAACAAGCCCTTCTAGCTCCTGTCCTAGAACTTCTTTTGCCTTCCAAGAAAGGTGCGTCCTTTCAGGTGTCAGTAGACCAGATGTTGAGTAGATCATTCCATGATCAAAAAAACACAGATTATGTTATGCTTCACTATAATGGGATTTCCACCTCCTTTCTTATGCATCTTTAGCTGTGAAGCTGCAGACGTATTGCCTGGACTGATAATGTTTGACCTATCAGTAGCAAGAGAAACCTGCTATTTAGTAGAGAAATGAACTTCTAATTTTGTATGGTGAGCCTTTCAGAGTCTGTGTTAAACTGGACTGCTGTCGTTCTCTCTAGCTCTTTTTTTCCCTCCTTATGTGTCACTAACATGGAATGTTAGGAGCAGCATGTGATGTGTAAGAAGTGTGATGGCAGCCACCAGTGCCCCTTTGAGTTTACTTTCACAGATTTTACACCAGTGCAGAAAATAGATCAGAAAGTTTCCTAATTAATTTTCAAAGAGTAGACATTGTCCTCTGATTTCTGCCGAAGAAGATACCTGTAATTCTGAAACTGATAGAAAAGACTAAGAACTATAACTCATGAAATCTTTGCTTGAAGTAGACAACATACCCTTTTTATGAAATTCTGTAATTCTTTAGTAATTAGGTACAATAATCAGTCTTGACAACATACCATGCATGCAGCCAGAAAAGAAAGCATTTAAAACAAATCCTAGCTTTGTGTAGGCATTCAAATTAATTTTTCTTCTGTTTGATCCTTTCATCTACCATATCACAATATCACTTTCTGCCTATGAAATATGAAGAGATGCTACACAGTTATTTAGAGATCTTCGGTCAGTACAAATGAAGATAAATGTTCGAGTTATCTGATTGGTTTTCATTTACAGTGCATGCATTGGATCCCAAGACCCTTATTGTGGCTGGGACATGGTGATGAAGAAATGCACAACCCTGGAAGAAAGTCTGAGTATGAGTCAATGGGAGCAAAGCATTACCGTGTGTCCAGTAAGTCCAAATACATTCATTTATCTTTAAAACCTTTGATTCCATGCAAATTTCATGAAAACAAGCTGTCATAGATTTTTCAAGCTCAGAAAACTGTATTTAATAACATTTTTCTTATGTTTTCCTATCAGATTTTAGCAGAATATTTTGTTACTTTTCTATTTCATATCGTACTACTTATATGGTAAAATTATTTAAAGTAATTACAAAGAGTGATTGGTTTTCATCTGTAATGTCTGTGTCCCCACCTTGAACACAAATGTTTTCTAAGATTAGAGATACTAACTTATTTTTCTCCATTATATACTATGAAAAATTTAATCACTAGTGGTATAATCTTTTCTTTTAAAGCCAAATAACTTCTTTTAAAGTCCATGAATTGTAAGGGTGAATTGTATGAGTTAAGTCTCGCCCACATCAATGACAGAGGGGATAATTATAATAAATTTATTATCTGCAGTGGCTTGACACTTCTCTTTAAAAATTATTTCAAATAGATTTAATATAATAATTAAAACAACAACAAAGTTGATTGGTATCTCTCATTTTTAATGTGGTTCTGGTGACTTTTTAATATTCATTCCTTTCCCTCACTCCAAAACTCACAAAAAGGGGTTAAGAAGGATCTTCCTTGTGCTACTGAGCTCTTTTTTTTGGAGAGTCTTGCTGCTTTGTCCTTCTGCCCAGGAAGAGTCAGCCTTTCCAACTCAATTCTGCTTTCATTACTAGTAAGGACTCCTTGAACTTGTCGCCACTCATCGTTGGAGCCCACACATCTATGAATTTATGCTCATATGACATTCATGTTCTAGTCTCGATGTGGTTATCAAGCTCTCTTAAGCTGGGCTTTGTTTAGTGAACTAGAGGTGTGCAAAATAAAAATCAAGTTCTTCCAGCTGTGATTTGTGATCTCCATATGTGTTGCAGCAGCCTCATAGGTAGAAATCACTACACTGATTCTGAGGTTCTTGAGAACTTGCTCCTGTGTTCTGTGTTGGACATTAAATAGCAATTTTTAAACATTTTTTTCAATTTTTAAAACTTTTTAAAATGTTTACGTCTTGTCCTTTTCATCCATGCTCTCATACAGAGGCCTAATAAAAAAGGTTTGTGTTGAATTCATTTGCATTAGCATTTGAGCTGAAATCAAGCACAAATTTGGGGCAAATACTACAATCTCTCCCATATGCTATTCATTGGTTCACAAAGCAGTCTTGAAGCGCACAAGCCACATAACTTTCAGATGAAATTAAAGCAAAAATGCTCCAACTACTATTATGGCTAAAGCAAGTCCAAAGTTAAGCCCACAAAATACATATGGTGTATGTGTCAAGTCTTCAGTGTCAACTTTTATTTTCAAGATTTGCAGTGTATGTGCACACCACTTGCTAATATAGACATAGTCATTGCCTCACAGAAAGTCTGGATTCAGTCACTGCACAGTCCTTGCCTCCCTGATTGGCAAATTACTAAATGCACTGCACATTATGTGGTAATTCCACAGACTAAATGTGGTCTTGTAGGTGGAGGTTTTGCTGGTGGCCTAGTTGCTTTATGTGGAAGGATTAGTGAAATGTGTGCTTTGGTTGATATTTGCATGAGCAGTCTGCCTGCTGTGCTCAGTCTTTGAATCGCGGTATTAGCCCTTATTTTCTTTCATAGATATAAAACACAAGGCCAAGATGGGGTGGAGAGGGAAGATTGAATGATTTAGACAACATAATTCAATTCTGTTTCGTTCAGCTGGAAAAACAATTGCTTAGTATCTATTATATGACAGTTGCCTAGGATATGGCAGACTAGTCAAAGCAAGGGAGCACCTAAGGCTTACTCAGAAATTCATCAATAGCTGTGAGACTTATATGGCCGATCAGAAATGCAAAGGTGTAGTGAACCTTCATAGAAATGTTGTAGTTAAGCAGATTGAGATTGAGATTACCTGATATAAGGAAGATTTTACAATTATCTGTCTAAATTGAAAAGTGTTCTTTTACTCCATTACTGCCTTAAACCCCTAAACACCAAGCAACACATTATTGAACAAATTTGAAAATTTCATAGAAACTTTCCTTTAAAATAACACTGTATTCTGGCAAACTGAAATTAATTACAATTTTGCTTAGAGAGGCTTTCAAATATTTGTTTTTATAGCATTTTTATGTGCTGTGTTCACAGGATATATAAGCCAAGATGTAATGAATGTAATTTTGTAGGCTATGTGCATCCTTAATACGGACAGATACATTTAAGGATCTGTTGCAGGCAGAAGATAAGGGGCTATTTGAAACCTTTTACCCATCCTCTTCCTGTGCCGATTGGTTCCAGTATCTTAATTGTCAGTAAAATTACACTCGTCTTTTTAACATTATAGAAACTCTTTTAGATTAATGCATGACCAGTTTCTTCTAGACTTGGATAACGAGAGGTCTGTTTATACACTATTTTAGCCCAAAATAAAAAGTGTGAACAGTTGCCTTTGAGAAATTACTTCCTAGGGAATTATTCATGTGACTGAATATTTATTGGCATGTCATGGTAGAGCAGGGAGGGGACTAGGAGAGGTAGCAGAGCATCTGTGTTACCATCACCCTGAACTTTGAAAATCAATTGTGAAAAATGTTGTTCTTTTGGTTATCTTGCTTTGATTTTAATTCTCAACTTGATTTTTAGGTTATTGTTTCAGTTGGTATGACTATAGCAACTGTATATAAATATAGATAGTAATTAATGCTACGGCACATATATCTACTTTAGGTTTCTTTCAGTTGGTCATTTATTCCTATTATTCATCCAGTATTTTTGATGGTAATGAAGGTTAATTGTTTTTCTGAAGTATTTTCCAGTGGAACTTGCAATCTGTCACTTAAAAATACACTGACATTATCAAAGAGCTTTTACAAAGAAAATAAAAAGTATTCTAAAAATTTTTTTTTGGGGGGGGTTGTTTTGTTTTGGCTTTATTTTTTTGTAACATAAGTATGCAATATGAAATGGGGTTATTTTTATGGTTGTGCTCAGAGAAAGAGTGTAGTATGGGATCTTACCTGAATTCATTAACAGCTTCAGTAGGTACTCCAGATTCACTGCATTCCACACAATATAATCTCAAACCAGAGATCTTGTGACAGATTTAAGAACTGAGTCTCTGAAGATGTGACCTTTACTCTGAGTACAAACCAGGAAGACAAGGTGGGTGCAGAGAAGCTCAAGACAAAGATTGATATTTGGAGGACATTAGAAAGAAAGAAAGGTCTAGAGGTATCTGCAGAAGGGAAAGGGTGACAAAAACGGGCTGTGAGAGAGGGAAAGCAGAATTTAGCTGTGCCAGGATAATACAACTGCATTGTCTGATTGACTGTGATTTTGCCCCTGAGGTGTGTCAGACTGTGAAAGGTTAATGGGCATGGATTCTGGCAAGGGCTAAAAAGGCCCCTCATCCCTACATTTTGCTTTCCTGTAGTCATATGATGAAATTGTTTGATATCACTTTTAAAGGGAGATATTCATGGAGAGTCAGAGCAGGTGAGTCTTGGGGAACAGCAGAGACCACAGTGGGATGATCTCTGCAGGAGCAGCAGGGAAAAAAAAAAAAAAAAAAAAAAAAAAAGAGAGAGAAATATGCCACCAGTTTATCTTTCTAAGCTCAAGCTTTCAGCTAGGTTTTATGTATACTTTCTCTGCCACTTAATATAAATTATGGTAACCACAGACAACTGTAGCTTTAATTTATAATTGTAGGTGCAACAATAAAGATGTTTTGGTGCAGCATAGAAACAGAAACCTGTAAAGGCATTTTCAAACCTCTGACACTAATTAGACTGGAGATATATAATTATTAGTTTATGGATTATGTATATTTGTTAGACCAAAAGCGTAAGAGAGAATGGGCTTACTTGCCACTTAACAAGAAGAAAGTATTTCCTGTTGTTTTATGAAAACCAACAGAGTATACTCTGCATAAGCAAAGGCAAGTGAGTTATTTTCAATAAGCATCTGTCAGCAAGATTTTGAAATGATGAATGGTGGTTATGTCAGCTATAGCTGACAGAATATGCACATAGCTGTTCCATGCATGACTACAACTGATATGTATTTATTTTTAAAAGAGTTACTTTAAATGCTATTGAACCTGCACTTGTTGGTACTGTTGTCTTGATTGAAAGTTAAAATATGGCAATCAAAAGGCAAATCCCATAGCATTTAAGTGAAAAAGTGGCCATTATTTCCATTTTAGGATCACAGATTTGTTAAGATTAACACCTTGCTAAAAGGATAATATGAAAGTCCGTCTTTGTTGAGAGCTGTTCTTCCTCCCCATTTTTTTTAGACATTCCAATAGTCATGGAGGCTGCTGCAGTTTCCATTGGCTCATTTTGTTTCATCTGGACAGTAAAGATTTCTTATTAAATGTGTTATGACTGCTTGGTGGAAACATTCCAGTCAAGATAAGAATGGTGTGACCCTTCCAACCAAAGGTGTCGAGAATTTAATTCTATAGGAACAAACTATCTCATCATGTAGGGTTAGGTGCTGCTTTTTGGAGATGTCTATAGGATTTATACATATAATTACATCTGATGTTTAGTGACTGTCATATTTAAAACCACATTTCTCTTTTATGAAATAGTACTATATGCTTCAAAAAACTGTTGTCAAAAAGAGACACTCATCATGGAGATTTGAGATTGATCCAGTTTTGTGGCCCTGGACTACCACAGTATCATAGAATCACAGAATGGTTTCACTGGAAGGGAAGTTAAACACCATCTAGTTCCAAACCCCCTGCCAAGGGCAGGGACACGTTCTGCTAGACCAGGCTGCTCAAAGCCCCATCCAGCCTGGCCTTGAATACTTCTAGGGATGGAGCATCCACAGCTTCTCTGGGAAACCTGTTCCAGTGCTTCACCATCCTCATAGCATCCTCATTTCCTCCTTATCCTCTGCTGGCTTTTCCTTTTGATCTAGATTTGGGTTTACAGTCAGCATCCAGGTTCCATTTTCACAGGGAAATTTTACAAAGTAGGGAACACAGTCATCAGAAGACAACTGAGAAAGTGAAACTATAGTTTCTATTGACTCCCTGTGGGCAGTTATGAATGTGAAAGGTGACAGTTAGTTGCGATTACTGTTATTGCTCTAGTGTTGACATCCAGTGGCTCGTATCAGTCAGAAGTCATAGAAATTATGCAGTTACAGAAATTAAAAGGGGAGATTGCTGTCTGGAATTTATACCTCTGAAGAGGAGGCTTTTATTGTTGGTGACTGAAGGCTGAACCTTCATGCACTACAACATAAAGAGGTTTTATGAAGGAACTGTCAGGCCTCAGGTAAGCTTTTCTGTTGTGCTTGTTTCTAGATGAGGAATCTGACAGTGGATGGACATTTTGGAACATGGTCACAGTGGAAACCTTGCACCCACACTGACGGTGCCAGTGTTGGCTCCTGCGTCTGCAGGACACGTGTATGTGACAGTCCTGCTCCTCAGTGTGGAGGTTGGCTGTGTGAAGGACCAACCATGGAGATTGCCAACTGTTCCAGGTACACAACACAATTTCAGGTTCTATCATTTATGGTTTAAAAGTTTTTAACTTAATTAGAATAATTTTTTTTTCCTATGGTATATTCGGGAGGAACAGGAGTGTCCTTTCTAAAAGTTCCCAAATGCAAGGTACAGCATGTGAATTCTGTTAGCTTTGTTGTTATATTACAAATGAGGTATTGATGTCTTATCACAGTATCCTGTTGAAATTGAGAACTAATGCATTTTGACCCTTTAATAATACTTTTTTTCCTTTAGAATCATAGAATCATTTAGGCTGGAAAAGACCCTCAAGATTGAGTCCAACTATTAATAATCACTGTCAAGTATACAACTAAACCATGTCCCTAAGCACCACATCTACATGTCTTTTAAATACTCCCAAGGATGGTAACTCTATCTCTTCCCTTCCACCACTTCAATGCTTGACAACCCTTTTTGTGAAGGAATTTTTTCTAATATCCAATCTAAATCTCCCCTGGCACAGCATGAGGCCATTTCCTCTCATTCTGTCACTTGTTACACTGGAGAAGAGACCAACCCCCACCTCATTACAACCTCCTTTCAGGTAGTTATAGAGAGTAATTTGGGGTCCTCTGAACCTCCTTTTCCTCCAGGCTTTAATCACTTTACTTTCGGAAGGGGTAGCAAAATTTGACATTTTAATCTCCCTGAAAACAATATGTAATTAAAAGTTATCTTAAGAATTTGATACAGGAATTTGCGTAAGAAGTTTACCCAGAATAAAGTGACCAAAAGGAGCTAAATAGCTTCATAGCTTTGTACTTCTTGTGTAATGGGATAATTTTAGCAGTTGCTGATTACAAAGCATGGAATATGGAATGATCAGAGTACCTTTATTTTGGTTCAGTATTCTTGAAGAAATGGAACACAATGCACTATTAATGACTTCTACAGAAATATTAATAGGCCAGATTCTGCTGTCAATCACACCTAATCAGCCATTCGCTATGTATAACAGATGACAGAGCCTGAGCTTTTTATTCTACCAGAAATGGAGGCTGGACACCATGGACATCTTGGTCACCTTGTAGTACCACTTGTGGAATAGGCTTTCAAGTTCGTCAGCGTTCCTGCAGCAATCCAACCCCCCGACATGGAGGACGTGTCTGTGTGGGACAGAATCGTGAGGAGAGGTGAGTTACCTTTTTTCTGTTGTCTGATTTAATTTCTTCTGCTCAGTTGTATTCGATGGGACATCTTCTCTTTTACTTACCTTGGTTTTCTCTTCTCCTTCCTTTCACTCTCTTTAACTTCACTGCTGTACAGAGGCAGCGTTCCCATTAACAAGGCTGCAGGTCTGCAGCCTTTCATCTTTCACTTAGTTTCATCCCTTCTGAGCCACCTGAGATCTCCTAGTAGTGCCAGAGAATTCTGCTGAAGCAACGTGCTGCTGTCCCCTGAGACCCTGAAAATTGATTCTCCTTGAAAATTGATTGCACTGTGTTTGAATTGTAACTTGCCCAGCCTCAAGACCTGGAATTCAGACCAAAATATAAGGTCACAGCACTATGTTACTGATACTTCGAGTTCATTTTTTTCTGTTGTAAATGAATTAAGCATTTCTATAACATGAAAGGAAGTTTCAAGGGCTTTGTTTTCTGTTCAATAAATATAATACACCATGAACTCAAATATCTTAGTAAGGTTTCATGCTTGGGCTTTTTTTTAATTGTTTGTATATAAAAATCCCTGAGCATATCAAGTCAGCTCAGATTTTGATTTCACCATGTAGTGCTATGGCACCCGTCTAAGTATTTTGCCATTAGCTCTGAATGTCAAGTTCAGGCCTTTTGTTCCATTTTACATGCACCCTAATGTGTCTAATTTTTGTGTTTGCAGTTTTAACAGGAATTAAATATTTCTTTAAATCAAGTTAGAATATATTCAGATAAACTGCAACTCTTGTGTGCATTATGCTGTTTCTAGAGGCATACCAGAAAGCTAGATAGCAGAAGACTGGTGTTGGTAGAAGAATGTGGAGTCCTGTAGTCATCAGTTCCAAGAGATGTATGCAGATACAATTCCACTCAATATGCACTTAGAGCTTACTTCAGTGTTTCTGTGTGGATGATGGAGTAGCCTATACTGCTTTTGGATGAAAACAAAGTTCAGTAACTTTTATGATGAATTTCAGTGAGGCATTTAATTCAACACCAACTCTGGCATTTCTTCAGATTAAGAGATTTATTGAAGGAATTGCATTGTTGCATCACACATTTATGCATTAACAGATCACCAGTCCTTCTAACTCTTAAATGTAAAGGATCAGTATTGCAGAACAGGTGAACATTCTTTGCTTTTTTAGGGCCATGAATATTTATCATTTCATCACAGTGGTGAGCATTTTGTTATTTTTAAATTGCTTTCTGAAAATAGGTTGCCCAACGAAAAAGCCATCACCACCAAAGCAGATTGTATCTGCTGTTACGTAGGTCTGTCCCAGCATGAATAACAGTTATTGATTTTCTTGAACTAAGAGGTCAGTCCAGGGCAGGACACAATAAGACTAAATATACAAGAAAGTAGTTTAGCTTGGATAGACTTTTTGGTGATGGACTGTAGGTGTTAGTAGTCATTGTTCATTTTAGTTTCACAAGGAATAAAAGTCCAATAAGAAGTTTCAGAGAAACAAATAAAACTGTGGGAAATATTTTCTTGATTATAGCAGAATATGTTGAGTGTTAAGGCAATGGGTGCACTGTAAATGCAGTTACAAAATGGAAGGTGATACTGACGATGAGTTGAAATAATGGCAGCCCGTAAAGAATGGTTGTTGGTATGTAACAATTCTGTTTATGTGGCTTTGCTTTTGTAGCCTGCAGGTTATTTGTCCTTTCTCGCTTTGTCTAGTTAAGCAGCAATCTGGGAAGTATGTGCCTGTGAGTTTACTGCAGGATGGCTTTTTCTCTCATAGTTCTTCTGTCACTCTTTCCTATCTCCTTGCAACATCGTTCACTCTCACTGGCCCTGCACCTTCCTCTCATTCACAGCTTGCTCACAGCTGACCTTCCTCGCTCTATCCTGTTTGTCATCTCTGTTATCTCCTGATACTTTTAATAAATTTTAAATAGAGTGCTTTTTCCAGAGGGTGTGATAAGTTAGGGAATTTTGTCAAATAATTTATAAAACAGCTAGAGGAATGAGGCATCAGCTATTTGCCAGGATTTTTGTCAGTGTTAAGCCAAGTACTTGGATAAACGTTTTCGAGCTGTAAAGAGCACAGAGTCCTGGGAAACTTGCCAGCCAGGGCCCATCTCATCACCCCCAACAGGGGAGCAGGGCAAGTCTGGAGATTGTGACCAGATACAGCCAGGAGTCCATATCACAGGTGATATCATGGCCATGGGAGAGGTCCAGGTAGGAAGCTAAGGCAGAGGCTGCGGTTAGGATCAGTTTGAATAGAACTTCTTGGCCCATGGGTGTGGACAGGGTTTCCAGGTGAACCTAGCTGGGGCCATTAGGGCTTTATGAGTGTCCCCATTGTTCTGACAGCTTGCTGAGTTTTGAGCTGGGAGGGCAATGGAGTACCAGTATTTACAATAGTCCTAATTGACCATTTTGCTCTTATTGGAGTTACATCTGCACCAAATGGAAACAATTCCTCTGAGAATTGAGCCCAGTACATTTAGGTGGGCTGAACAAATATAACGTGTGCATTAAATCCTAAAAAATATTTACTGGTTTTGTATCCAGAGTGCCAAAAAGCAGCTTCTCAGATTTTCTCATTTAAATCAAATGACGCTTCTAAATACCCTAATATTTTACTTTCTTAATGACCCAGCTCATATGTAAAATGAAAATATGTGCAGTCTTAGTAAAAATTTGAATTAGTTGGTTTACACATTGTGTGCATTTGTCCTTATAAACACACATACTTTAATCATCTTCACATGTTCAGGAGTATAAAGGTAGGATTCAGTTTCCACAGCCAACATCACGCCAAACTTTAAAACAGCTTTTCAACAGTGATTTCAGTAGAAATCCAGTACATAACTCCTTAGAAAGCAAACACAGAAAAGGCAGTGTATATCTGATTTAAATTCACCTGCATATGTGAATAAATGTATTCATCTTCAGAGTATTTGCTCATGTGTTAAGAGCTAAATGTTTGTTTAGGTTATGTTTGTTTTACTGCATGAAAGCCGTAATCCTATCATGGCTAATCTATCGGGCAGTTCTGTGCTTGCTGGTCATTCCTTTGAAATCAATGGCAATATTTACCAATTTAAAGTGTTGAAGATAGGTTAAGCTGTTGCATGATCTGCTTCTAAAGGGGTGTGTGGGGGTGGAAAGCAGTTGAGAGATAGCAGCAAATACTCACGTTACAATGCAAATTCCCTTTGTAAAAGTAGGTTAAAAGTGCAGCTGATGTGCTTTTAGACTGAATATGGAGAGGGAGTAAAAATAACATTGCAAGAAAATTTGCTAATCAGATAATAATTCTGAAGTTAAGACTCCAGATGGAAGACATCCTGATGAAATCCTTGGGGGCTTAAAAATTTCTGATTTTTCCTGTATGAGAAATATTCACTTCAGCTGCTGGAAAACTCTCTAGATCTTAGTTTATAGAGTCTGCAGAATCCTGTCTTGACATTATTATGAAGTGAGAATGTTTGTGCTTTCTGTGGAAGATGCTGTAGATTTAACCTCATTAAGTCCACTGGTCTCCCTCCTATCTTTGCAGACATGGAGGATGTTAAAATTGCTTTCAGTAGGTGTACTTATCTTTTATTACACAGGAAAGAATAGAAAGAAAAGAACCCTATGGCAGTTAGAAAAATAAATTGGCTGCAGATGAGGAGTAAACATCTGGAAGCCCTGGATATTTTGGGGTACATAAGAAGATTAGAAGCAGTAGATGTTGTCACGGTTTTTTTTTTTTTGTACACAGTCCTCAGCAGACATTCAGCTTTTCAGCTTTTTTCCATGAGAAATAGGAACTGCTGAGAGTGAAGTGCCTGTTCTGTGTAGCACTGCTTGTTTCTGAGCAGTGTGAATAAGCCCAGTTCCCTTCAGCAGAGCAGATCAAACACCACAAGGCTTTAGGCTTGCTTACAGTCCCATGGATGTCTTATCTGCTGGGAAGTGGGAGCTCCAGTCCTCCTTGATTTCTCTGCTCCCTCCTCTTCCACAAAAGTCCCTGAGACCACATGCCCCAGCTCCTGCCACCTTCCACAGTCTGCTGGGTGGGTATTTCTGCCAATTCAAAAGTTTTAGTCCAGTAGGGCATGTGTGTGTCCTGTGTCTGCCTTCAATTAAAGGAATCTGACATTCCCATCAGCCTCAGTATAGTCAGTGCTTCCCAGTAAGTCACCAGCTGGTAATCACAACTACCCGCCATATAACATTACATTTCATAGGAATGGGAAGCCTAGTTTGTTTTTTCTTAAATACATAATAGTATAATAGAGCACAAAGTTAAGAAGTATTTGTTTAAATAACCTCTCTCTGTAGAATAAAAAGGACACATTTGTAACTGTCATGCCTGTAGTACTCCGTGCTGGATGGAAAACACTGAAATAAATTGTATAAATTGATGTTTTATAAAGGTTGAGATTTTTATAGGAACAAGAATAGTAATGCCAGTTGTACTGAAATTGCCTGGTGTAAAATTTACTGTAGGAACTAGGAGCTGGGGAGAAAACTGGACATTGGATGTTCTCCCTTCTCCCAGTATGACAATTCCTTTATTAGGGCATTTGAACTTGGGTTCACTACAAGAGAAAACATTAGGGGTCACAGTATAAAACCCACATTTCTCTAGGCTGTTCTCCCTTCTGACCTCATTGCAGTTAGGTTAGGGGAGAGGGCACTGGTTTCACAGATTCAAGTTTCTTGCGTTGCATGTTTTGTTGAATCACTGTAAAATGTTAGCCCAGTGGATCCTGAGAACAAAATTAAGAGGGGAAGAAAGAGCAAAAGGGAAAAAGGGTTGCTGAGTGACTTGAAATGCAGCCAAGAACAGATATAATGAAACTTGGCTCAAAGCCCCATGCTGTAGCACAGCTCTCAAAGATCAATTGCAGGGATGTCTCTAGCTGTGAAAACATACCTGATGTTTTCAGAGGCTGGCTGGCTGAAATGAAAATTAGTTTCTACTTGTATGTTGTATTGGGTTTTGTTTTCATCTTTTTGTGAAGAAAAGGAAAAATTGACACTTCTGGTTTTGGCTTTTTTAAAACATTGTTTCCTAAACGGAAGTAGTTTGCATAGAGATTTTAGAGCTTTTTTCATCTGCATCTTTGAATGGTCTTGGTTAACAAAATTGCCAGGCCTTTGAAGTGTTTACTGTGTCAGTTATTAGGTTTCTTTTCTGTCTCCTGCTTAAATGAGAGAGTGGGCACGTAGGCACTAAAAGAGGCACTGCATTGTGTCATCTCTCATCTAAGTGAGATCTGTCACACCTAACTTCAGGTGTTCATAAATGTGAGTGCTTATGCATGTATGAGCTTTCTGAACTTTCACTATGGTCTGTAAAAATCTAGTCAATACAGGCTGTGGAGAACAGTAATTTGTCTCCTTCTACTGTATGTCCCTAAATTTCTTCAAATTAATAATTTTAATCATCATAGTTTGTATTGACCAAATTTCCATTGTCTGTCATAGGAGCTTAGATGTCCGTCTCCCATGCAGCATTTATAGTCAATGAAAAGAGAGCTGTACACTGAGGGGTGTATTTATATGACCTACATTAGACATTCATTTTAGGGTGACATAAATAATATTTTTAACAGGGCTGTTTCTTTCCATGATCTGTTGCTCAAGTTTAGATGACTAATTTTTAGACAGCTTCACAGTACATGCCTATATTTTAAGGCAAGATGAGTTCTTTAATTTTACTTTTTGCATAGTTGAACATCAGTTATTCTCAGCCTCATGGCAGACTTACTTTGCCCTATGTGTGTGTCCCAAGTTAACTTTGCACATCTCCATTAAGAACTAATGCAATTATGTAAAATATGTACTAGTTTGACTAAGTGTTGATGTTACATGAATACACATTCTCAACAAATGATCACAGAGACAAACTGTAACAAATGTTCACATAAATGACTGCATGTGACAAAGAATGTGTGCAGTTGTTGGAGTTTTAGGGAAAGAATATCCAGGTGCAGAACACTTCTATACTTATTTAATGTTCGGACAGTGTGAACTGTGAATTGCAAATACTGAACATGCAGAAGGGGGAAAAAAAAGCTAGTTTATGTATAAGCTACTGCTGGAAAGCATTTACTCAAATCATGCACTGAAGAATTCTGAGACACCAGGTTCATAAATATTGAGGGTTAGGGAATTTTTTCCTCCAGTTGCTGAGGGAAGGTCAGTACAAGCTGTTAATAATTTTCTTAGCTATACAGAAACAGAAAACTGTCACTCCTCTATTTACTCCACTCCCACCTTTAAATTTTAATGGAGTTGCTCAGACCTAGGAACAAAGTTTAAATCATAGACTCCAGTATATGCAATAAAGCTACTTTTATATGTAAAATACACCAACAACATTTTTCCGCCCCCCACAGGATTCTGAATGTCCAAATTCCTTGGTAATGGAGAAGTAGAACTTGAGGATCTTGAGGCTTTCAAAAAAAAAAAAAATTGTTGTGGTTATTCTTGAAAATGACAACTGTTCATGCTGTCATTTCTCTTTCTGTAAAAGTGAATAACTGGAGTATTAGAGTCAGTTTTCATTGCAGGAGAGTGCAAAGTGATGGAAACTTGTTAAAGGAAAAGACATTGGATTTTGGATGGCTGGTGTAAAAACAGAGGAAATACTGTAACAGATTGATTTGTTCATTCAGAACAGTCAGTAGTTGTTGCAAGAGCTACCCAGACTCATCCATAAAATATTAGAACATAGCTTCAGAGTTGCCTGTTTTCTGACTATCTGCTATGACTTTGTTTTATCTGAAGTAACAGCTTGTTCTCTTAGATACCCCTCATCACAGTTGCTGGCGGCCCAAATCTTTTGGACCTGCATTCCTTAAAAAGCAGCGTATGCCGTGGCTAGAGTTATTGGATGGCACACTCAAAAAATCAGGAATCTTTGGTTTTTACAAAAAATGAAAAAGCTCACTAAAAGTTGGGACCTTCCCACAAGTCTGAATGTCTTGTTACAATAATGACAGCTCAGTACTAAAACATTCCTGCTTCCCTCAAGAACCTACTAGGCCCCTGAATTAGTTTGCAGCCTACGGGGAAATCCTTCAAGGATTATAATAGCTAAAAACACCTTTTGAAAGATAAAATAACAACATTATGAAAACAGTGCAGTTCTTTATGTCTAGAATCAATGTTTTAACTTTTATTTTGCCCATAAAAGCAGAGACGCTGTGGAAAGCAAAAAGCAAGTTAAGGTCTCTGAAGATGAGAGAGATGGATCCTAATCAATTCTTAGCTGGAGACTGATAAAAGACTGCCTGCCTAAGTGTTTGACTGCCCCAGATGTACAGCCACAACTGGTTTTAATAAAGTAGTTTTCCATCTTGCTTAGGTGCTTGCAGTACAATAGCATGGTTACATTCCATGGATTGCATAGTCACAGAATAAAGCAAACAAATGCTTTACCGACACAATTGCAGCCTAAAAAAAAAAAACTAAACCCTCAAATGTTTAAACACTCTGTGTAGTGTGACAACTGTTAGTTCGGTGCTTGATGAATAGCGAGAGGCCCTTTGTATAAAATAATTCCCTGTACAAACATCTATCTGAATTATGCAAATGAGGGACTTTTCATGGAGGTCTTGTATTGATAGTAAATAGATTCTTTGTCTCCTTGTTTGTCTCTTCTCACAGGTACTGCAATGAGCATTTGTTGTGCCCCCCTCATGTGTTTTGGACAAGCTGGGGTCCATGGGAGCGCTGTACTGCTCAGTGTGGAGGAGGAATCCAGGCTCGGCGTAGGACATGTGAAAATGGTCCTGACTGCCCGGGCTGCAGCGTGGTGAGTAATTTTCAGCTTTCCCTTCAGCACATATCTATGGCCATACGCCATGGATGTCTCTATGCCATAGAAGTATAAAATCATTTAAGTTGGAAAAGACCTCTAAGATCATCAAGTTCAGCCATTAACCCAGCTCTGCCAAGTCCACCATTAAACTATGTCCCCAAGTGCCACGTCCTCATGTATTTTAAGTACCTTCAGGGATAGTGACTCCACAGCTTCCCTGGACAGCCTGTTCCAGTGCTTTGACAACCCTTTTAGTGAAGGAATTTTTCCTAATATCAAATCTAAACCTCCTCTGGCACAACTTGAAGCCATTTCCTCTTGCCCTGTCACTAATGCCCTGTGTCCATAAAGCATCTGTGTATGTCTATAAGCTATACCCCTAAATAATCACCAGACTATTTTTGTCTCTGTGTTGCTTGTGTGTGCTGAAATCCACACAATTTATAAATCAGAAATATATATAATTCAGCTTTTTCACAGTATCATCTAGAATATTAGCTTCCTGAGGCAAGGTTGGTGCAGATGTGTCCTTGCAGATTTATGATGGGTTTTACTTTTATGACCAGAGTACATAGGAACTCTAGCTATTAGCCCAGGACTCCATTGTGTCAGGTTCTGTACAGTAGAGAAAAAGATAGGCTGCACATCTAAGTACATAAGGAGCCAATCAGTGAATACATGGAAACACCAGGAAAATGCTGAGGTAAGATTAGATAGTAATAGTAATCAGCACAGCGATCACCTAGAGCTGTCAGGCTTCTAAGCTACACTGGAATGATCTGAATGAATGCAAGTGCTTTATGGATACCCAATTTATTAAGAGAAACATATGGGAAATCTTGTAGGCAGTTTTTCTTATATCTGAACAAATATACGTGGTAGATTTTGAGTGATGGAAACATCAAAATGGGACATTACTTTCTTGAAGGTGAATGGGATGATGCATAGTAGTATATGGGTGAAGTGAGACAAACATAGTAGAGACATGTAGAGAGAAGGTAATGTTCACTGCAGCATGCTAGGAAGACAACCTCAGCGTTAGAAGCTGAAGCAAAGTCTTAGCAAGTGTAGGTTCATGTCAAAAGATGAACCTTGGGGTTCTCTTTCATGATAATTTGAAATCTAGTTCTGGATTGTCACTGAAGGGGGTATTACGAAGAAAGCATAACCTAGGTGAAAATATGAAGTGGCCAAAACTGTGGAAGACAAATTCTGCTGGTGAATGACAGACAGAGGTGTTAGCCTCACCAGTGACAAAGAATGAGCACAACTCAAAGGAAAAATTAGATTATTTGTGCTCAGTGGCCAGGCTTAAGTTGCACGCTGAGAAACATGTACTCAGTTTTGTTCCAGGATATTAAAGAGGCAGAAGAAAATATTTTTTTTTTCACATACTAAACCAATTTTTACGTGCCTAATTTCAGAGAGTAGGCTGAATTCTGAGGTTTGTCATCATCTGTAGTCTATTTGTTAGACTGGCAGTAGTTAAATACAAAAGAAAGGATAATTTATTACCTTTTGCTTTTTGTGCATTTTCCCAGGATTTGTTCTCTTTTTAAAATTTACTCTGGTGATAGAATTGCATTTTCAGTAGATTGAAAACATCCAACAGGTTTGTTCTTTTGTTTCAGCTGAACTTTAGGAATTAACCTAATAACTTAGAATTATATCTAGTTTTCCAATATATTTGTC